CCCCAAAACCCCAAAACCCCTTAATGCTAAATTGTTTAAACTTTAGATAATTTCAAATTAAACATTAGATATTATAATGATTTAAGGTAAATTCCTGAAAGCATTATTTAATGAAACCCAGTTCTCTCAGATCTTATTCTGTCGCCGAATCTTAAAAATCCAACTCTGAACGAAAAGATAGTATCACCACAGTACAGCAAAAAACTCTAAGTACTGTCCAGAAAGCAATGACTCGCCAAGATAAAGCTATACTCATAGTAATTTTATTTTCGATTTTTGTTTCCTGGACACTATATGGGAATATTGCAACTTTTTATCCACCATATAGACTTGAGAAGCACAAGTCTCTAAGTGATACTTAGGTTGGAATAGTATTGTCGTAAAATATTAGTCAATTCATTACTTTTAGTATGTTTGAAGTAGGAGTTCTAATATCATCTCCAATAATAGCTATTGTATTACCGAAAATAGGAAGAAAAAATTCTATTATTATTGGATAACTTACTTGTATTTCAGCTTCAATCGGATTTGGACTTTTAGTTTTTATTTCTGATGAGTAAATTTATAACTTATAACTCAAATAGCATTACATTTTTCATTGTTTCCTTGATACTGAGATTGATACAAGGGATTGGAGATGCTTGTATTAGTAATGCGGGTTTGTCAATAATTTCATCAGAATTTCCTTCAAAAAGAGAACATATGTACGGCTATGCAGAGTCCTCTATTGGAGCAGGTCTAATGATTGGCCCTGGTAATTCTTGAAATTATAACAACTTTATTTTTAGTTATTGGTCAGGCTTTATATTCTATATTAGACTTTGAGTATACATTTTTCTGCTCTGCTGCGATTGTTGGAACGTCTTTAATATTAACATTGGTATTAATACCCTAAAGAATAAACAACACAAGTTCTAATGAGAGAGATAGCATAACTTCCTCTTAAAGAGCTGAAAATGATAAAAGAATATCATATAAGATGATGATAAAAAACAAAAGAGTTATGATTGCTTGCATATCTGTAATTATTGCAATGGTTTTCATGCTTTTCTTTGAAACAATTTTAGCTGACTAATTACTAGCTATTGGTGTCTCTAAAGACCACGTCGGTAATTTAATCAAATTTGATTTCAAAATTTTGAGATTAGGATATATATATTCAATCATGTCTTTGGTTTACACAGTATTTTCCCCTTTTGTTGGATTTTTTTGTGATAAATTAAAAAAGGTAAGAAGTCAATTATCACTAATATTATATCTAGATTTACATCACATAATTCTCATTCTTCCTAGCAACGATTGCATTAATTTTCTATGGACCTTCAAAATTACTTGGATTACCAGGGTATTTATATTTCAAATAATCTTAAATAATTAGAACTCTTCCATTCATGATTGTTGGAATGATCCTTTTAGGTTTTGCTTGTCCCTTGATAATAGTGCCATTACTCCCAGAAATAATTGATGCTGTAAAAGAAAAAGAACAAATAGGTAATTAATTTAAGCCTCTATTTTATTGAACTTTATATACTTTGATTTAACTTTAAATAGGGGAAAATAATGAATTAAATGATAAAGCTTCAAGTTTTTTCAATAGCTCTGTTGCCATTGGAAGTTTGACAGCCCCTATTTTGGGTGGTCTTTTCAATGATTTATATGACTTTAGAAATACATGTGATATAATGGCTATAATGAGTTGTGCTTATGCTATAATCTTTTTCTTGATTAACTTATTACCATTCTGGATAAGTCTTAGAAATTCCAAGTAAACAAAGAGAAAATTATATAAGAATTTCGACAATAGTACAAATTAGAATGGGGACTGTAAGTTGAATAATCTGATAGAATCTGATAAATTCTAAAGCTAGTAGAGTGGAAATTAAATAGATAAGACATTTGAATCAGAGAAATGGCAATTTACAGCTCGATCAAAAGTCACCAAAGACGAATCATTCAATAACTAACTGATGAGCTCTAAATTGTCAAAAATGTCTAATGAAAAAATAAAAGATCAAGCACTCTTCGAAAAAAATGAAAAAACCTAGATCTGAGTAGAGTGAATATCAAATAATTTACTTAATTTTTTACAAATTTATTTCTTTAAATCAATCACATGATTATCAATTTAAGAATAACTACGGGGTTTTGGGGTTTTGGGG